ATGAAACAGCATAGCAGAACTTAGGGCAACTGGCTAGCTAACAAGAATTAGAAGGATCAGATAGGAAGGAAAGCTAGCTAACAAGAATTAGAAGGATCAGATAGGAAGGAAAATGTTTGAAAGTATAGGGCAGAGAAGAATATATTATTTTCTTTTGAAGTATAACGCTCACAATAAAATAAAATGGAACGAGCAAGGCTACATTATGGTTCTATAAAGTCCAGCTTCTTCAAGTTCATTTGTTATCCTAAGAAACACAGAAGGGCATTATTAGTTTTTTTAAGGGAATATGTTCAGTATGGTTGGCCTCAGAAAAGTTAACATTAAATCATAAGCACGAAAAAGAATCTGAAAGTGATTCAGTGGGACAACTGGATATGTCACTTTTGCATCCATACTTCTGTGCTCATACTTATGCTTGAATCAATGAGTTGGTTTAGAGAGACCCTTTTTCAGATTCAGGGTAACAAATTCTTGTATGTGTCTTTACTCTCTTCATCTTAGATTTTTCCCAAGGACTCTTCAGAATCAATCTTAGCAGAGACATTCTTGCTTTCAATATATAAGATCCTGCTCATTTTCAACATTTGTCTTTCCTAGGCAGTTAGTTAGAAATTCCTTGGATGACCTGTTATATAATACTCCAAATGTAGATGGACAAAGTGATGAAAGAGCTCTACTAGATCAGCTGCATGCATTGTTGAGCAATACTGATGTTACCAGCCTTGAAGAAATTGATAGAGCCTTAGGAATTCCTGATCTTGTAAACCAAGTAAGTAAATGTTCTTTTAAACTCTTTATTTTTCGGCTAGCTGAATATATTGTAAACTACGGATGCTACTGAATTAGTTCTCGTACAGTTTTTTTGCAGTACTATTATAGATACCTTCAGGTCAGAGGTGGGTTGCTACCGGTTTGCACCAGTTCGGGTGAACCAGTAGTGGATTGTTGGCCTAGGCCGCAGAACCGGAAGCGACCCAGGCTGGCCACGCCTCCAAACCGGTTCCCAGGTAGCTGTTGCCGGCATGTTTTTTGGTCCTTTTTTAATGTTCTACGTGTGCACAGAACTCTTTACAGGCAACTTTGCATGTGCGCAGTAAAGCACGCATGAAGTGAACCAGGAGTAATGCCAGCAGCAACCCAACCCCATTACAGATTCTTCTATGAGAATTGATTTTAGATTTTATAACCTGTTACACCTCACCTTCTCCCCAAACTGAGGAGCTAAATTTCTGTTTATTGTTGCTCAGTGGGAATTTTTTTCAAAGTATACATTAAAAGGAAAAGGTTAATTAAGCTATTGATAACAAATGATACAAAATACTGCATAAGATACTATAGTGTCACAATTAAAACCTGGAGAAATCATAGTGAGAAAAAAGCTCCATTTAATAATTTAAGACTAATTCTTTCATCTAAAATTATTTTGTTCCTAGTACTTGCTCCAATGCTCCATTGTTTATTGTACGTAATTGTAATTAGGTATGCACATACTTTTTCTATATTAGCAAATGTGATTCTATACCATTTTACTAATTAGTGATCTAAATTTTGAATGGAAAAGAGTCAGTTGAGCTAAGGAATGAGATTTCTAGATTATGTTAGAAGATTACAGTACCTAATAATTTTCATAGAAGTGCCAGAAGAGATGGCAAGTTATGCCATTCCTCCAATAGCCATCATCTCCAGGTATATTCTCTATCCATCCATCCATCCATCCATCCATCCATCCATCCATCTATCTCTCTCTCTCTTTCTCTCTCTCTCTCTCTCTCTCTCTCTCTCTCCCTCTCCCTCCCTCCCAAACACACAGAATAAAATCATTCACCATGTGTCTATTAATATATGTAATATATTACTGCAGAGAGTAAACTAATTTCCCTATTCTTTTGAAGGGACAAGCTTTGGAATCCAAACATGAAGCATTTCATGGCCAAGATTCTGCAGTCATGATTGACCAGAAGCCTCCAATATATGGACAACCCTACCATGGTCCAGGAGCGGGAATGCCCGGTGGTTTTAGTGGCAGCATTCAGGGCCAACAGGCAGCCTTTAACTCAATGATGAATCAGATGAACCAGCAGAACAATTTTCCAATGCAAGCCATGCATCCAAGAGCAAATGTTATGAGACCACGAACCAATGCACCAAAGCAGCTGCGTATGCAACTCCAGCAGAGGCTTCAAGGACAGCAGGTAAATATGTTCTGAAAAAGCAGGATTGTGCCAAAATACAACATTTTTTTTTTCTCCTATTGGAATGTTTAATACGCGTAGTAATGATTCAATCTTCATTGCTATACTAATCTGCTTGATAGTTTGTCTGGTGTATTCCTTGCGTATTTTGATTGCTGAACAAAATAGTTTGAGGACTACACACGTGATACATTTTTATACAGTTCTTTTACAATATATTGCTTCCTTTTTCTTAAGTTTTTGAATCAGACTCGTCAAACACTTGATATAAAAATGGAAAATACCAATCCTGGTGGTGCATCGATGATGAGACCTGTTCTACCTCCCCAGATGGGATCACAAGTGAGTCATTAAGGCCATTGTCTTGGTCAACATGTGTTAGAAATAAAACTGTACAAGGGGCTCCCAATCCTGCTTTACTTACATTTTTGTTCCTCTCCATGTAATCACATTCTCATAATCTGTATTTGGACAGTGGTACCTTTACTCTATCAGCTGTTGATGCTTTAAATAAAAAAGTTGAATGTTCTTTAGGTTGATCCTAAATCCTAGTGGTTGCATGGGCATGTTTAGTTTTTAGTTTTTTGTTTATAACAGGGGTGTCAAATTCAAGGCCTGGGGAAGTGTTCACCCTGGAACCAGTGAAGGACCAGCCCGCATTGCCTCTGCCAGTGAAAATGGAGCTCAAGACAGCTCTGTGCCTGAGCTCTGTTTTGCTGGCAAAGGTTGCAGATGGCTGTCACAGGTGAAAACGGAGCTCAGGAGTGCTTGGGCCACTACAGGAGCCAGCCTCCCCCCCCCCCAGGTCAAACACAACCTTGATGCAGCTCTCAAATAAATCAAGTTTGACACCCCTGGTTTATAACAACACGGAAGTGGGACACTACTCCAAGATGGTTGGACTTGTCAGTCAAGGCTCCAGCCTTGGATTTTCCAGATGATCATCTGTTATTTCAGATTATTATCTCCAGAGGTTGGGCTAGCCTAATACTGCTCTCTTCTGCATGGATTGTGTGATTTTGGCTACATAAATAGAGCAGAGAAACAATGAGTTGGAAATATTGTATACTAGATCATGATATCTGTTTTCACCATAGAATTGATGTACATCAGAAGTATCAAACTGAAGGCCCTGGGGCCAGATCTGCCCCAATGGGCACTTAGAACTGGCCTGCAGAGTCGCCCTGGAAACAGCGAAGGACTGGCCCACGGTGCCTCTGCCAGTGAAAACGGAGCTTGGGAGGTCATCATGTTCCATTTTCTCTGGCAAAGGGTTCCAGGAGACCGTCGCAGCTAAAACAGAGCTTGGGAGCCTGTTTTCGCTGGCAGAGCACTCTGGCCACAGGCACCCCTGACACGAGTGAAGTTGAGCTGGCCATGCCCACTCCAGCCTGCCCCCCCCTCCCCGAGGTCAAACACCAACCCTTATGTGCCCATCAACGAAATTGAGTTTGACGCTGTTGACATACATCTTCCGTCAGAGTTTTAAGTTATGAAATAAGTATTATGATGACACATTTAAGTATTTTTATGGCTTATTCCCTGTCTTCTTTTTTTGCTGTTAACAGCAAGGCTTCCTTAATGCTCAGATGATGGCACAACGCAGCAGGGAGTTAATAAGCCATCATCTCAGACAGCAAAGAATGGCCATGATGATGCAGCAGCAACAGCAACAATCTCAAGCCTTCAGTCCTCCCCCAAATGTGACAGCCTCAGGAAACATTGATGGTGCTGTTACAGGCTCTCTGATGGCTCCTGTCCCACCCCAACAATTTCCGTACACTTCAAATTATGGTACTCATTTCACTGATTCCGCTTTCTTCCTCTTTCCTCTGGACATAAATTGTTGGCATAAATGAAGGACCTGTGATCTTAAGGACGAAAGCTTAATATAAATAAATATAAGCAGGAAGGTGATTGGTAATTTTCAAATGATCTAAAATAGAATTGTCAGAGAGAGGCTTAAGATTAGATGGCATTTATCGTTGTATTTAATTCACTTTGCAATTATGTTGATTGCAGGGCTCTGATTTCAGTTGCTGCTCATTTATTTCTTAATTGCTCAAAATGTTTCTCTTCTGGTTCAAGAGCATACATGTATATTTTAAATGTGTTGCTTTGGTTTCCAGCAATTTTATTTTTTCAGAATGAGTTCCAATTAGTCAGACTGATCGCATTGATTGATTGATTATGTACTATCAAGTCATTTTTGACTTCTAGCAATCAGATGAAGAGAAATTTTGAAAACAATTTTCTGTAAGTTCTGATAGAAGTAAAGGGCAAAACTTTCACGTTGTTGCAAATCTTTTACTTACTAAAGGAATAATACATTGTGGATTCAATACAGCCCTGACTTAGCAATAGCACAATGAGCAAACATACATACATACCAGTAGAAGAACAATGTCTGCAGTTCAGTAGCTAGTTTTATATGGTAAAAGATTTGTTAAAAATGAGTGAAACTCAAGGCAAATATAGGAAATCCTTTCTAGGGGTCATCTTGTGAACTATATGCTGAATTATTACCAGAGATCAATGTTAATAAAGACATCATAAAGCATTCCTTTCTTAAACAAATGTTTATTGAATTAGGAAAAAAAATGATCAAACTGTTACTTTATGTTTTCTTCAAGGAATGAGCCAGCAACCTGATCCTGCCTTTAGCAGGGTATCAAGTCCTCCTAATGCCATGATGGCTCAAAGAGTCGGACCCTCACAAACTTCAATATTGCCACATCCCCAGGCTTCCCCAATGTATCCAACGCCAGAGATGAAGGGATGGCCTTCAGGAAACATTGCCAGCAGGAGGTGAGAGAAAAATCATGGCATTTTCAGAATGACCAATGCAGGGTTTCGATAACAGGGAAAATAATGCGATGAAGCCTTTCGCTTGTCTCTTTTTCTACTTTTGCTTCAGATTTTAGCTTAACTGCAGCTTGATGTATCAACTGCCAGTAGATCCTTAAAACTGCAAATAGTTTAAAGAATTGGGAACTTTCTGAAAAACACAATCCACTCATTTCCTTGGATATACTGCATTCTGCATGGTAGAGAAGCTATATAGATCATGTGGTCTATTTAATATAACAAGTGCTATGGCAAAGGAGAGAATTGCTTGTGAGAGAGAAGTTCAGATTACAGGTCAAATTAAGAACTTCTGTGATCTTTGCTGTTCAAATAGTCAATTTGTTTCATTGTACTGATCCCACCAGTGATTAATTACTGTACAAACTGCAGAAGGCAGTTGGGTTTGATACTTTTGATTTTTGATATTTTTAATGCCAATGTATGCCCATTTTTTAAAAAAAATCTAGGTCTTAACCTGAACATGTTACTCTGTTAGATATAAATGAGATTATTCCCATTTATATTTAATAGGTAAAGTGTTGTGTTCAGATAAAGTTAAGAGTTATTGATTTTAAAGATGTAGAATTTTAATATTGCTGACCTTAGATATCTTAAGAAGTATGAGAAAAAAATAGAAACTAAAATTAATCAGAGACCTTTGCTATGCATCATGTTATACTTGCTCACCTTGAATGACGTCTATTTTGAAAGCCACTTTGCTATTGATGGTATTGCTACCATCTCCTATTATGTCTTGTGAAATTGCAATTACTGTATATTCAATAATTTTTCTTTTTTTTGTATTCTTTTGTTCCATAGTTCTTTTCCACAGCAGCAGTTCAGCCACCCTGGGAATCCTGCAAATTACAATATGATGCATATGAACAGTAGTGGAAGCCACATGGCCCAAATGAATATCAATACTATGCCCATGTCAGGAATGGCCATGGGTCCTGATCAGGTAAGTGGCATTCAATTTCTACAGATCACCAACTGCGATCAGCTCCTTTAACTACTACTTTAAGGTAGAAATCTGTGGAGATTCTCATGGTTATCCCAAAGGTGCTTTTTGAAAAAGGCAACTGAATTTACATTGGTTTTTCCTCCTTTAAAAACATTTTGCTTCTCATCCAAGAAGCTTCTTTAGTTCAGAACTGAAGAGCTTCTTGGATAAGAAGCAAAACATTTTCAAAGGAAAAAAGCCAAGAAAGTCCTGTTGCCTCTTGGAAAAAGTACCTTTGGGACTACTTTTAAAGTAGATATTCTCAATATTTTCAGGTCCAATTCATAAATTAGATATACTTGGTGTGCTTGGTCTTTTTCTTGTATATTTCCTTTTTTCCTCACATTAGTTTTCTGCAAGATAGCAATAGCAATAGCAATAGCAGTTAGACTTATATACCGCTTCATAGGGCTTTCAGCCCTCTCTAAG